AATGTTTTTGAGTCTTGCCATTTCCTGAATACCTATCCGTGTATGTCCTTATGTCATGTAGCCCCAGCACAGGCTTCCTTCTAAACAACTGTGTGTCTGAATCCTAACTCCTGACAGCGCCTTCCTAACACATCACTTCTCAATCACAGTAATTCATGGACATATCTATTACAAGATTCGAAAGCTCTACTGATTTCAAATGACCTCCTACAATGGGTTTTCATATAAATAAACACAATTCTGTGCCTAAAACTTTTCCCCCAAAAGTCTGTGTTATTGATGTCCTCTAAATCCTGTTCTAAATCTTAAAAAATTAAGATCCATATCTTTAGTAAGATACATATGACTCTGGGAAAAATTGGATAGATAAGATTGTCAAGAGATAAAGAAAGCAAAAAAAAAAAAAATTCCTCTCTATACCCGAGTAGAGAGCTAATAGTTCTCAGATTCAGAATTGTGTTGGAAAAGGTGACCACAGCCTTGTTCTGGATTGCTACTTTATCATTAAAAGGTTAAATTCTGGCTACAGTGATACTGCATTCCAGACCAAATCCATATGTGGACTGGTTGAATAGATTGCTAAGGTATCTATAATGCTTGCTTGTGTCACATTGTATTTATACTATTTTTCTAAGCAATTCAAGTCACTATTTTTTCTGACAACGAATCCACTATACATGGAAGAAAAGATTTCAGATGGAGGAAAACAGGCACAAAGATGTTGAGGCAATAAGAATCCTTTATTTCCAAGCCAGTGTTACTGGTTGAGGTGGAAATAGAATCAGAGAAGTCAGGAGCATTGGATAGGCCCAAACAGTTCCTGTGGGTTTTATTTTTAGTGATTCAGGAAGTGATAAAGATATAGGAGCAGAGAAGATAGAAGATAAGACTTCCGTTTCAACAGAACTGCTCTTTTTTATGGTATTCTTTTCCTTAGGAAACTTTAGTTAAGTTAAAAAAACCTCAGTCATCAAAAATGACTTGTACAACTTACAATTCACTTATAAAAATGTTTTGTGCTTCTCAGATTATCAGTGCATGTCTACTTGGCAAACTTAAAGGCAAAACATTTACTTGTTCCTGCTCAATATCATTTGCCTATGCAACCAAGTTTTTCCTTTCCTATTGGATATAGTATCATAACCCTTTATAGCACACTTTGGCTCTGTGAAGAACTACTTTTCATTTTCTCACATATGTTCCATTTTAAGTCCTCCTTTTGTACCTACAGTAGTACTACTTACTGGGTCATCCCATCTTATTCATACTTGCTCTTTAAAGCCATCCCAGTTGCTTCTAGAATATACCATTTTTCCATTGTGTTAACTATTTTGTTAAAACGCACTGAGAATTTACATCACCAGGGTTTTGCAGCTGTGTATTGGACTGTGCTTGGAAGGGGATTGTCACTTTTATGTTTTTGTTTCATCTAACAAGGGATCTGGAAAAGTAGGTTTGTGTGTCTATTTGTCACATAAAGTGAGAGTCTGAGCTCATAATGGGGGGGGAGGGAGTAATTGATTCTTTCATACTTCTATCTGTTTCTGCAAATAGGTCCTCCCTGGTGAGACTAAGCTTTTTAAAAGTATTTTTCTTTTCTTTTTTAACTGTATACATTTTATTTTTGATGATGTTTATATAGTTGATTAGGGAGGGAAGGATTGAGGATTAGAGAAGTCAGTGAAGCCATTGTTTCCAAATTTTATTATAATTCTTCCTATGTCTGGAGAAAGGGGGCAGAAAGGAGGGACAGCCACACCCAGCCTCCCAACTGCTGAAGTACCCAGGGGTGGGTAATGGCCACCCACTGTCATCCCAGGATCCCCAATGTGGAACATGCTGTGAGGGTTCTGCTCAAGTAGTTTTGATGATTCCGATATGCTGTCAATCTCATTGATGCAAGGATGAGGAAATCCTTCCAAGGTCCATTGGCTGACATAGTCCACCTTAGAGTATCCATTCGTCCAGATATTTGCTGTAAATGCCTGGCTGGGTAGTTGACCAGTTTCTTCTGTCCTCCTTCCTGTGATTGGTACCAGATGTCCTCTGTAGGCCCCAGTGGACTACCACATCCTCCATGTGCATCTGGGTATCCATTCACCACTCCATCTAAGCCACTGAAGAGATCCAGTTCTGATACATACACCCTATGGCCAGACAACAAATCCTGTCATTCTCCCCATGGTTGGAGTTCTGATCAGCCCTTGGACATGTTGATGGGCATTGAAGCCTAGCTCAACCCAGCCAACCCCACTATCCAGCCCACACTCCTGCCAGCAAATTCCATTGCTTGTCTAGCCATGCCCACCCCCAGACCTGGTTCTCATGTTCACTAGTTGAGTGCCAGTGGTTGCTCTGACCCAGCTTGGCACAGCTAATCCCCCATCTCAGCCTTTGCTATTGGATGCTGCAGCCTGGACTGGCCCAGCCTGCCCCAAATCCCAGCTCTCACTGGTGGGTGCTGTAACCCGGCCCTGCCTGGTCTGCTCCCGTTCCTGGGTCATGTAAACTGGTAGGTTTGATAGCCTAGCCTGTCATGACCTGCACTCCAGCCTGGCTCCTGCACCTACCAGTGGGGTGAGTTGGCCTATCCCTGCCCAGTCTGCCCCACTCCAAAACCAACCCTGAGCAACACCCAGGCCTGAATCACATGCTCACCCCAGGAGCTATGGTCCACAATAGAAGTTGCCCAAGTTCCTCCATCAGGCTCAGCCCTGGAGCCCCACCTGCCCACTTAGTTCCGGCCTTTATACTAGCAGGTGGGTGTTGTGGCCTGGTGCAACTCACACCCCTTTCTTGGGTGTGCCTGTGGGTACTGGGTACTGTAGCCTGAACCAGCCCAACTGTTCCCAACCCCAGTACCCATGGGTGTCAGAGGGTTCTATGGTTATGCCTAGCTTAGCCCATCACTACCACCAGCTCTTAAACAAACTAGCAGAAATTGCAGTTCCACAGGGATGGGCTGACATATTCCCTGTAGAGTCTGCCTCCAAACTTGGTTCTCTCATGTGCTGGTCCGTGTCATTGCTCAACCTAACATTTCCCGTGCCCTGTTCTGACTCTCACTGGGGATACTGTGATCTAGTCCTGCCAGTAGATCCCCAGACTAGCCATAGTGCATGCTGGTGAACATTGGTCAGCAGTGGTCAGTGTTAACTAGCTCAGCTCTTCTCCCATGGGGTTGTTGCATCAGTCTGCCCCATAAAAGTCTTTCAGTTTCCCCCTTCTAAACTGCTCAATCTCAGCCCCATTGCTTACCTGCAAATACACTAGTCTTGTCAATGGAAGTCCCTCAGAACTCAATCCTCTCCTGCAACACACACTCTCAAGGTCCTCCTTCCCACACATCCTCTTGCCCTTTTTCCTAATCAACCCCCAATCCCTAGCACTTGATTTCCCCAGCCCAGGCTTCCTAAGCCCAATCTTCTGTGGGATAGTGTACTAGCCCGGAGCTCTGTCTGCCCACCCAAGCCCCTGGTATGTGTGCTGGCCTGGGACCCTACCCCTCCACACACCCATACCCAATCAAAGTTTCCCAAACCTGGTCCACCAAGCCCACCAGGTCATTATGCTGTCCTAGGTCTCTTCCCTCTCCTTCCTCCACTTCACTTGGAAACAAAGACATGGGGAAGTTCTCAAGTTTACTCACTTGCCTGGGCACAAGGCTGCAGGTTCTAGCACCCCCACCTTCTTCATCCACAAGCCTGCCACCCTCACCCCCTTGGGCCTGCCACCCTGCCTTGCAGATACAAACTGGCATTAGACCGCCCTCCCGTGCTGGCCTAAAAGCATTTTTCAATAAATGATCTTAGTGGGAAATTCAGGGAAATGGTTGGTGGCAGAGCACATCATGTGAACCATACCTTTGCTTTTCACTTTGGGTTCAGTTCATTTGTATCCCTGTCCACTTTCCCAGTGCTGAAATGTACACAAACAGAACTAAATGTCCTTTCCACAAAAACAATAATTGACTTAACTGTGTCCCTGAACTATTATTACGTGACATTTTCTTTTGTCCATTTAGAATTCTTTTTTTGTGCATTTTTAGTTGTTCACATGTAGTGCAAATACAGAAAGCCTTTGTGTTGAAAGGCATTTTTGAATAGAAGTGCTAATATCATACAGTCTACCACACTAAGTGCCTTGGTAATACCAGGAGTCAAGTGCTGTATTTGGGAGTTCATATATGATAATCATTATGCATGAAAGGCACATATTCAAAATTCAACAATTCTTACGCTGTCATCTGTGCATAATAGCAAGGTATACAATGGTCTAGAAAATGTTTCCCAACATAGTCAGTTGCAACCATGGCTACTGTCTTAATAAATGATCTCAAACTTTTACAGCTGGAGGCCAAGTATATCACTTGATAGTAAGGACAGTGAAATGATAGATGCATTTGTCAGGGTTCTGTACATCATTTTATTAAGCACAAAAACCATTTAATGCCATTGTGATGTTTTGCTTGCCTTAAAAACAGCAGATAAAAAGTAAGTGTATTTTTCTGTTTCATAGCTCAATATTTTGTGAGAATGAAAATCAAAATTCTTGGGAATTTTCTTCACATTAGATGTGGTTTTGCAATCTATCTAAAGAGAACTGTTAAACATAGTTGTCTGGATCCAGAAAACATATTAAATTATGCAAACCATTCCAATGGAAAGATGACCATGTTTATACCTACCTTCTATACTTAAAGATTTTCTTCATCTTGGTATAGTAAGGGTAAGTAGTCAGTACAGATGAAAGAAGCCACACTCGGATACCATAGTGAATGCCGTAATATGAATACATGGGCTTCTTCTAGTTCAGGGGATCTTTGCTGATGACATAATTCAACTTCTTAGTCCAGTAGCACTTATGTTTGAACTTTAGAGAATAAAATATTTATGTGTATTGCTGAGAAGCAGTGAGAGCTTTGTTTTTTAGCTCATTGAAAATGCATAAAAATTATTGGTTATTTTATGCTCATTAATAATCTTTTCCGTATGCTTCAGGCATGAACTTCTTGAAGAAGCTCGGAGAAAGGGATTGCCTTTTGCCCAGTGGGATGGGCCCACCGTAGTCGCGTGGCTAGAGGTAAGAGAATTAAAATGAAAGGATCTTAATTTAATCACTACTAATGTGATAGTATTTTGGAGATAGGTAAATAACATTTTCTGAAGTTAATGTCCCAGTCATATTTTTTGTCTCGGGGGCATTGTGAGCATGGTGACTTTTGTAATTATCTTGAGATGATATCAGAAGTGTGCTGTGGATTAAGAAGGATGTTCTTAAGATCCAGCTCTTTCATGTCTAGCACAGGTGAAGAAACTATTACTGAGTCACCCTGTGATTGTTAGAAGAAAGCAATTGTTAATACTCCTGGGTTCTTCTTATTAGGTTACAGAGAAGGGCTCTCTCCATATTCAGTGTTGATAACATTAAAATTATCAGCATCATCTAATTATGTAGAAAACCATTCATTTTCTCACAATTTAATTTCTGAAACTAATTCTCTGCTGCTCTGGGACATGCTAGCTAATTTAGTCCCTCTGAGATTAGATGGAAAACTTGGTCTTTTCTGTATCAACAACAGAATTTACCTGCAGTTCAATCCGTATTAACTTATCAGTTTAAGTAAGTAAATGAATTCAGTTCAAATGAATGAAACAAGAACTGCACTCAACATATCTTGCACAATGTAGTGATATGGGAAAATAGGGCAACATTTGAACATAGAAGGAAGGAGATACAGAATGACTGTGAGGGACATATATATTTGATCACAAATGGTCTTCCTATGCTATGTGTTAGTTTTGTTTCTTGCCTTTTATAATGCCAAGTGTGGGCTGCAAGCAGCTGTTAGGACATTCTCGGACAGGTCTAGGTTTGGGTGAGGAAGAATCTGGCTTTTCTGGATTGGGAGAGGCAGGCACACATTGCTTTAAAAAGTTTGGCCTTACAGAATCTCCTGCTCCCTTATCTTGTCCTATAGCCAATTATCTCAAGATCTTATGAGGAAAACACCGAAGTGCACTTTAGTGTAAGCAAGAAATTTCATACAATGATGTAAAGACATACTTTCCTTTTTCTTCTTAGACTAACCTAATGAAGGTCTGGTTTGTATTTTTTCACAGCAGTTAAGGAAATTTCAGCATTAGTGATCTTCCAAGGACATCTTTGAAATTACTGTACTATAACAATCAAGCACTATATGAAGAAATGACAGCATAAATACGATAGCAGTGCTTTGCTCAGCTTTCACTCTGGTGAAATGAGCTGCAGTTTGACAGGGAGCTAGTTGCTAATTTGCCAAGTGATGAACAAATCCTTTCAGATTAAAAAAAAAAGTCACATTAAGGTGCTGGAAAGTGTCAGGCAGTGAAGTTTGAGCTAATTAAGCTTGTCCTAAGCCCAGATAAATTGCTTGTAATGTAATTCCTAATGTGACTCAATTTAGAAAATGGGAAAAAAACAAGACGGATGAGTTGGGTGATACAGTGGATGGGAACTCTTTAGCTTTTGCCTCTTTTTGAAGCTCCTCAGTGCACAACATGGTAAGAAAATATTATAAGAAAGAGCCTGGTGCTTCATGTGCCATTTACCATGTCTAAACTCTTTTAGTTTGGGGTGGCAGTGCTAATAGCAAGCATCTGAGCCGTGGTAGCCAGTGGGGAAATCCAAGTGTCTTACAAAGGAGGAATGGAGAACTCAAGAGACCCAGGCAAGGAATATTTATGTCTCGTTATTTTAAACATTTTGAGTTGATAACTAAGAAGTCAAGAGCTATCTTGTCACAGATTATGAACCTGCAAGGGAAAAAAGTCAATTCTTATTTCTGGCATAAACTCCTCAGCCATGGAATGTACGTCACGTTCCCCTTCTCTTTTATCTGTCAGTCTCAGCCCAGGCTACATTGATCCTGAAATGGTTCTTGTTTGTTTGCTTGGTTTCCATCCCCACCCCACCCCCTTTTGAGGAATACTGTAGAGATTTTAAAACTAAAAGTGTAGATGTATTGCCTTGTGTGACACATCATCCCTAAATGGCATGTTCTCTGCTGTAACTTAGATGGGTCAGAGATGGCATAGTGATGACCTCTTTGAACGTTTTCCCTCACACTCTCGGCCAAGGAAGCACTCATAGCAGGGCTTGATTTGTGGACATCTCTCTTTAAGTTCATGGTCATGATTTAGTTTTCTTCTAGCTGCTGACCAGAAACATCAGGCTTATATCATTTGGACCTGGTTTTCCATACAGCTCTATATAAGTATGACAGCTGACTTATCCCAAAGCAAGAACTCAGAAGGACAGAGTTAGAAGAATGAAGCCATGGTCTGGAAAAATGGCAGCCCCTTGTTTTTATCAGACTGTTTATTAGAAATATTCATCTGTCCAGCCTATCCTTGAAGATGATACAAGGGCATCAAGATCAGCAGGTGGCGAGCAATAGTAGCTGTCTGTGGAGTTGCACTGCATAAAACCATAGCAATGATAAGGCTTACTCCCTTCATTGTAGAACTGAGATAAACACAGCTGAGGTTTAAGGGAACTTTATGACTCAGCAGAGCCAAGAAAGGTATTAGAGCCGGGTCTTCTTGGTCCAGAGCTCCTGACATTATATGTTGCTGCTTTATGTCCATTCTCTTCCCTCCGCATTTCTCATTTTTACAAAATTCTATCCTTTGCTTAATTGCCTCAACAAATAAACTTAACAATTCATCATTTGTGGACATTGGAAAAAATTCAAGATCTACCTTGCTGGTTTTTTTTTTTTAATATTTGCTCCTATTTACTCTCAGCTACTATTGGAGGGAAATAAAGAACATTTTTTAAGTGTGTCTAAAGCAGATAATGTGACAAAATGTAAGCAAATAGATTTTCGCTCCTTGTATCTAAGTTGTGTCTGAGATGTGCAGCTAACCCTGTGCTGTGTGTATATAACACTGTTGACTCAATCATCTTGCAGGAACCTGGCAGGAAAAATGACAAATTGGAATACCAAATTTCTAACTCATTGTTTTTGCACACTCTAGCTATAATGGCTCAAATGCTCCTAACTTTAGCCTTTTTTTTTTTTTTTAGTAAATATTATTCTCAAAGCATTTTTGAACATAGCCTCTAGTTAAGTTCACACAGCTATCACATGAGATTGATAGGTATGTAATATGGTTTAGTTAAATTACATCATTTGATCAAAATCATATCCCTGAAAATGCACAGCTGTCTGCTCCTGTGACACATATTTCTGCATCAAGAATTACAAAGGAGAATTGTAAACCAAAGTTGTTAATTAAGCCGTTTGTGCTGAAATTCCATAGAAAATTCAATCCTTAGCTGTTCTTATCCTTACACATAAAGGAGGAATTGGTGCTCTGAGGATGTAAAATATATTCCCAATAATAATGACATTTTCAAAAAGTCATGGAAATGTTTATTGTGATAAAATAGTATCATGGATTTTGATTTTTTACAAATTTATTTGTTTTTATTAGAAAGGTAGATTTACAGAGGAGACAGAGAAACCTCTTCCATCCACTGGTTCACGCCCCAGGTGGCCACAACAGCTGGAGTTGAACTGATCCGAAGCCAGGAATCAGGGGCTTCTTCTGGGTCTCTCACATGGATGCAGGGTCCCAAGGCTTTGGGCCGTCCTTTACTGATTTCCCAGGCCACAAGCAGGGATCTTATTAGGAAGTGGAGCAGCCAGGACATAAACTGGCACTCATATGGGATCCTGGCAAATGCAAGGAGAGAATTTAGTCATTGCTCCACACCCCTGGATTCCAAATTGTTCCCAACAAAATATATTTATTTATTAAATCCATTTTTTTCTGTAAACTTTTATTTTTCTAATGCTTTATTTTACTTGACAGATATACAGAGAAAGAGTGAGGCAGACCTTCCATATATTTTTTCACTTTTCAGTTGCTGCAAAGGCAATTGAACATTCAGTGGCAGACCTGTCTGAACCTGGGAGCCAGGAGCTTCTTCTGGGTCTGTCACATGGGTTCCAGGTTCCAAGGATTTGGGCCATCCTCCACTGCTTTTCTAGGCTGTTAGCAGGGAGCTGGATCAGAAGTGGAACAGCTAGGACTTGAACTCATGCCTGTATGAAATACAGGCACTGAAAAGTAGAGGATTAGTATGCTGTGCCATCATTCTGACCTCTTTGAGAATTATCTAAAGCACTCTGTTTTATGAACCAGTTGTTGAAATGCCGTCTGTGGAATCAGAATACCTGAGTTTCAAACCAATCTATTGTTTTCAATGTTTTTTTTTTTAATATTTCTGTGCATGTCTCTTCTCTGGGGAAATTAATTCTAACATTTATGCCACAGAATTGTGAGCAATGCATGTGTTCATACATAGAAGGTAATTAGGATAACCCCCAGCACTGTGACACTAAGATGGTAACTTACTTGTGTTATTTTAATGCTGTTGTTTTACCTACCCACCAGCTTTGGCTGGGAATGCCTGCTTGGTATGTGGCAGCTTGCCGAGCCAACGTGAAGAGCGGTGCCATCATGTCTGCTTTATCTGACACTGAGATCCAGAGAGAAATCGGAATCAGCAATCCTCTGCATCGCTTAAAGCTCCGGCTAGCAATCCAGGAGATGGTTTCTCTTACAAGCCCTTCGGCTCCTCCGACATCCCGAACTGTGAGTCAGTGTGAACTCTGCTCTGCTGCTAGGCAAACAGCAGTCTGTTCAAGTCCACAGATGAAAATGGGGCTGTGCACATTTCAGTGTCAGCATGAATTACTCTGAAGAGACTTAGCTTGCTCTTTGTTAACCTTGCTGTTACTATTAATGGGTTCCAGTTGAGGCGCTAGGATTCATATTCAACCCAAAGCTGCAGCTTTTTTTTTTTTTTACCCAAGCAACAAGACTCTGAGATTACTCATTTCTTGAGATTTTTTTTTTCCTTTTTCCTTTTTCCTTTTCATTTCTCCTTTCCAATGCATTCTAGCATCTTCGTAAGAAGGAGCTGTATGAGTTAGTACAATGCTTACTTCACCAAGACTTAAGCTGTTCCCATAATTATAGGAGAGCAGGGGTTTAGTCACTGCCAAGTGCAATGCCTTTCATAGTTCCTGCTGTCTTTTTCCTCTATTGAACATTAGAAGATAGCGCAATAGAAAGGCATACATGATGACAAGTCACTATCAAAATTCCCAAATAATGCTACTTTTTGTCTTCATTCCACAGTACTGAAGATTTTGCTGAGAAAGGTTAGGATTTCTAGTGTTTTTTTTCTCCCCTAACATAGCATAGAGCCTAGTAAAACCTTCCATAAAGAGAAAATTTTAGACACTGGATAAAAAACATAAAATGGATAATACTTTATCTTTGGTTTTAGGTGTAAGACAAACAACTAAGTTTTACCTATGATCATACATGATTTTACCATTTTTGTGTTTTTCTGTTGTAATTACACTTATTTTTCTTCCCAATAGAATCAGTAGAGTCTGGTGTTAAAAACACAGGGTTAAATTTCATATACGTGTATCTTTCATTTGTTGAAGTAAAATGGGAAAATACATTATTTTTTAAAGTATTACCTATAGTGTTTTAAACAACAGTCAGTGTTCTTTACAATAATTGAAATACCATTTAACCTAAAAGATAATTTAGGACACATTTAAGATAAAAATTGAGCTTGTCATTAAGATAGTATAAAATAAATTTCTGAATTTTAAAATAAAATTTTAAAATAAAATTCTGAATTTTTCTAAATTGATTTCTGATGTAATTACCCTGAATAATTTTCAGCTGAGTAAGAAGAATCAAAACTGGATAGTATCCGCCTTCTCTGGGTAACTTATAAAGAGATTGGTTCAGATGATGGCTTTGGAAGTCCAGGAGTATGGCACCAGCGTTTGCTTGGCTTCTGTTGAGGATATCATGGTGAAATGCAGACCAGAGAGCCAGTGCATACAGATTACTGATCATTAGGGGAGCAGAAGAGCACGCTTGCTCACTATTGTTTTAAATAATACAAAGAGAAGAGATTCTGTGCCTTCCACTGGGACAGTTGCAATATGAGCAGCCTCTGTTCTTCCTCAGTGGCCCTCCTCTTTCCTCTCCCTGACCACTTGTTGTAAATAAAGAATTTTTATCCACTCCATATTCATAGGCTTAATGCTAGTAATAATAATGCACAGGTCAAAAGTAGTTCAATCATAGTTCCCATGGCATGGGAACTATGACATGATATTTGTGGTTTTGAGATCGGCTTATTTCAGTAAAGTAGTGATTTCTAGTTGCATCCATTTTGTTTGCGAAAGACTGAATTCCATTCCTTTCCCTAGCTGAGTCATAGTCTACACTGCACATGTACCACATCTTGTTTAATCTAGTGATCACTTGATCGACATCTGAGTTGATTCCATATCTTAGTTATTGCAAAGTGAGCTCCAGTAACATGGGGGGGGGGTGGATTACAAATAACTCTGATGCGCTGATTCTGATGGAGGTACTTTCCCAGTAGTGGAGTGACTGTACCATATGGGAGATTTATGTTCATATCTCTGTGGACCTTCTGTACTGTTAAATCAGTCCTCCGACAACCTGCTCATTCTCATTATTGAAAGAATCTAATGACGTATCAGGGCAGTTGCCCTCAGCCTCCTACATCACATTGATATACTTTATTTAGCAGTATAATTTATTTGATAGTAGAAAAAAAGAAAATGACTGTTTTGCTGTAAATGGTTAATGGAATTAAATGATACAAATCTGATTATATAAACTCTATAACTTAAATTACAGAATACTTACAGGAGTTCCTTTCCCCCCCCCTCCTTCATTCCTTTCCGTCCCCTCCACTATTTTCCCCTGAATTATCACAGGAGTATAGACCTTTAGTAACAGTCACAACTTTTTGATATTTAAAAGTATCATGGCATGATGGTATAGGGACAGGTAGAAAATCTAGTATACTGTAAACATGTATTTAAATGTTTAATTGGGAGTCCTACTTTTATTGGGGAGTAGACACATACCACAACCTATCTTTATTTTCAAGTATACTGATGTCCATCTGCGAGAATATATGTATATACTTGATTATCTGTATCTGTTTGGTGCTTTATATAAAGGCTGTCTTATATGAGAGACAACACACGAGATTTGTCCTTTTAGGACTTGCCAGTTACACCAAATGTAATGTTCTCTGGTTGCAAGCATTTTGTTACAGATGGTAGGGTTTCATTCTTTTTTATGGTTCAGGAGCATTCTATTAAGTAGATGTTCCACACTTTCTTTATCCATTGATCTGTTGATTGACACCTGGGTTGTTTCTGTATTTTCACTATTGTGAATTGTGCTGCTTTAATTGTAGAGTTGCAGATCGCTTTTTCATGTGCAGATTTCATTTCATGTAGAGATATTCCCAGGAGTAGGATGGCTGAGTCATGTGCCAGATCAATTCACAGTTGTCTGAGCAGCTTCCATGCTGGCTTCCATAGTGACTGCACTAGTCTACGCTCCCTCCAGCTGTGGACTGGTAACTTTCCCCTCACATCCTCACGAGCAATTGTTGATAGATTTCTGAATGTACACACTTGTCAGTGGAGTTAGGTAGAATCTAAATGTGGCTTTGATTTACATTTCCCTAATAGCGAGGGAGCCTGAGCATTTTTTTCTGTATCTATTAGCTGAATTTTTTCTTTTGAAAAATGTCTGCTCATGTCTTAACAGAGTTGTTTATTTTGCTGTTGTTGAATTTGTGAAACTCTTTGTAGATCTTGAACTTAGTCTCCTATCTGTTGTGTAGAGTGGTCTTGTTTTTTGATCTCTGCCAGATTTAGTATGACTTCACGCTAACCTGCAATCTTTCATCTCCTGTTTTTAGAATTGAAGTTATACAGTTTTTCTTATAGAAATAATATACTGAAAAATATTTTTATGATACAGAAAAATGCAAACACAACAAGAAACAATTCTAAACAATAAAAAAATTCTAGGTTTGATCTCTATTAAATTTTTATGATCTTTTGATAGAGATCTTTCTCGTTTTTTGTCATTTTTTAATGATGGAATATTCACAGTACCTACCATTTTGTATTTTATTTGGAAAATTAAGAAGGTAAATATTGGCTTATTTAATGTTCAATAACAATATCATTTTTAACTCTTGTGTATCTCCTTTATGGAAATGTGCTGACTTATTTAATTAAATTCCTAATATTTGACATTTTGCCTGTTAGCCACATCTCATAAGGAGTCAAAATCCAGGTACTTCAAATGTTTCATTACAAAATGTAATTAAAAGTTTACTTTAGTGCAAAAATATTTATATACAAACGTATATTTTTCATAATACAGATCTTGCATTAATTTTTCAAATAACTTTTTTATGTAACTAATTATAAGGCTATACAAAACTATGATTATTTCCATAGCAGTATTTGTGTGTAGTGCATTTGTATTTTTAATGCTTTTTTTTGAAAGACTTATTTTGTGTATTTGAAAGGTAGAGGGACAGACAGAGCAGGAGATCTTTTGTATGCTGCTTGACTCTCCAAAGGAATGCATTGGTCAGACCTGGGCCAACCAGGAACCAGAAGTTAGGTCTTCAACATGGAAAGCAGGGTTCAAACACTCGAGCATCCCTCCCGAGCACAGTAGCCGGGGGCCAGACTAGAAGCAGAGCTGCCAGGAATCAGACCAACGTTATGATGTGGGAGAAAGGCACTGCCGATGGTGGCTTAACCCTAATTATCAAAAGGTGCTGCATTGGGGTTTACCCTCCTTTTGTATTGGTTATCTCATGCTTTAAACTTAAAACTTTTAAATGACTGGTAAAATTGCTTTTATAACATTATTTAGTATTTATAGAAATTATCCATGCCTTCTCAACTTTCCTTCAGGACAGTAAGGAAACTTCATTTTATTAATGTGTAGAAGTATCTTTTGGACATATTCAGTTTTGGATTCACTTTCCTCAGCGCTATGTGTCTTATTCATACATTTAAGTCTGCAAGAGAAAAAGAGTACTTAAGTTCAGTTTTGTTTTCCTTTTCTTTTCTTATATCCTGTACTTAAATATATATATATATTAACTAGAGCTTTTTGCGTCCCTGGCTGTCTAGATAAAATGGACTAGATTCCAGAATGAAGCTTAACGGTCACCTTTGTTACTTCTTGGGAATCCCTAACCTTCCAGTTGTTTTTTTTTTTCCCCAAGCTGCTGTTGTAGAAGGCTCCTCAATTCATAGGTTATGGAATGGGTATATTGGTTAATTGAAATTTGGCTCAAGAAAAGTATCATAAAGGATATATATCCTTCAAGTATTTTATCCTAAGTACAAATATGTAGATGCTTAGGCATTTGCAAATTTAGAGGAAGCACCTGGGACCAAACTTTCAATGTATTTCTAAATTGCCTTTCTGTGATAACCAAGTTTCTCTTGTTATAAGTTTCTTTTTAAAGTGCGAAGTCCGAGATAACCCAGGTAGTTAATTTGAATAAAGAATCTGACAGTTATTTCCTTATACTTTGACAGGCTTGTGGCTCACTGATGGGATAGCCTGACTTTTATCTGCTCTTTTCAAATAAGTCCATGTTTATGAGACACGATTTTCTCTATGAGTAATGTTTATGTAAATCGAGAAATCAAACTTTTGAAAGAGTCACTAGTGGAAGTACATAGGATTGAGAAGAGAATAATAAACCGTGGCAATCCTAGAACTCAGACAGATTGAGGACGAGAAAGAAGTCATAATACAGACATGAGTGAGCCCCGTTTGCGGGAGAGATGGGGCATAGTTGTTAAACTGAACTACTGGGATTGCAGTAGGAACCTTCCTCAGTGCAGTACGATCAGTACCGATCTAAGTGCTTTCTGTATAGTAGCCTGTTCAAACATCACAACCGCAATAAAGATAGTTACTTTTATGATACCCAGTTCACAGATGGGGAAAACAGATGTAGAGAAATAAATGGACTCTTTGAGAATCATTTTCTTGTGGTTTTACCCAGAATGTATGCCTCAAACCAAGTACCTTATGCTCACTGCAATTTGAGTTTCCCTTCTTTTCCTGTAGAACTCATTGATTCCACATTTGTCTGTGTTCATTCTTGGTAACCTCTCAACCTTCCACCTTTGTGAAAATAATGTGAGAAATAACCTGATTACCATCAATGTTATTAAATCAGAAAAAAATTCTCTGATAAGAAAATCTAGAAAACGGACAAATTTGTATCTGGATGATCTGAATATGACAAATTTCAAGTTATTTCTAATTCAACTTCCAATTCAAAATGACGTAGTTACTATTGAAAAGTATTTTGAGCCAGGTAGGATTTAGGGTTAACCTGATGTATTGTTTATTTATTTATTTTTATTGTTGACAATCTTTACATAGTTAATTAGGGTAAAAAGTTTCAAGGGCTATAGGAAAGTGGGTAAGACTATTATTTCCATATTGTTTCCTTCATGTTTAAAGGGGGTTATTAGGGAGAAGACCCACCTAATTTCCCACCTTCCCCAGGTCCCGGATGTAGGGCATGCTCCAAGGTTCTTGCTCAAGTGATTTTGATAGTTTACCAGTTATGCCTTTCAAAGAGCTTGCTTGCATTTTACCCTTAATTTGAAGGCCCAGTGTTTCTAATGCCTATGACTGCTCAAAGCCCGCTAGTCTAGTTTTTCTCCTCTGGTTGTTCTTCTCAGAGTGCTCCTCCTCTAGCTCAGCCCTCATGAAATAAATGCCCTGCTGAAAGTCCCACCCCCTCACTGGAGGTAGAAGGAAAACCATCTTCAGAGTAACTGGCTTATACCCCATGGACCTTGTGTTGACAACAATGGCAAACTTGTTAACACCTTCAATAACAGATGGGATGACTAGAAGCTATTTTGTGAGTTACTTTGCAAAGATTACAGATCAGGCAGTGGTGCTCACAAACATACCTTCAAACTTGGAAAAATTGTCAGCCATTTTTTTAGGAAATTGTCCTGGATATATTCTGAAAAAAAAAAAGACAAATGAAAATATAATTCTGAGCACCTTCACCATTCCAGAATACAGCTACACATAGCTGAATACACAGTCACACATAGACTCTAACAAATGTTGAAGAAATTATGCATGCACTTATTCCAATTTTAAAGACTTAGTCAAGTTTCCTGTAGTAGGAATGCAACTTGCATTAGATTTAGGAGCTGAGTACATAGTCCAGAAGTCAGAGTAAAACGGGACTGGCTGGCTGGTGTTAATGGCATCATTAGTGAAACTCACCTCACTCCAGTGTAACTGGTCAGACAAAGCACTGTGATCGCTGCGTATGAAGGACATGTGGCTGGCAGATGAGTATAAAATTTTCATTATAGCATACTCTTCATAATATGAATAAGAATTTATTCAAATGAGTTCAGTTCAGTATCCTCTTAGTGGCCTCTCATCATTTTGAGCGCAGCTCCCAGAAAGCTGAATGTGCAGGAGAGGGTTTCCAAGGACATATCGGTCTCTTGTAATCTAAATGTATTTCTTTTTATTACATAGGAAATTATTTCATGACATAGGAAAGCAAATATAAGTGTTAACATGTATGTTACAAAAGTCCAGCATTACGGTGCTTACAATGTTTGAGTGTCCAGTTTGTCACTTCCAATTCTTCACACCTGAATTCATTCCAGAAAACCAGTAATGAAGAATACATAGGATATGAATTCAACTTATGTGCTTTTAGTTGATCTTGTGGTGTCAGGAAGAATTTGCTAGTTCTATGGAGTTTTTCAAGAACAGCTCCTTCAATAATATGCCTGAGTTGTATGTTACCAGGTGGAGTTTGTTTAGAAATCTTACATTTCCTATTATATAGACTCATATCAAGGGTGATTTTATTTTAAAAAGTAAACAATGCTTCATAATGGAATAGTACCCATTACAGGAGAAATTCTCTTTTATATTTGTATAACGGTATAGGATATTGCTGAAGGGTCAGGAATTAAATAGCTTTTCTAATTTCATATTTAATGAACCTAAAAATACCTCTTACTAAATACAACTAGCACTTGATTGTTGATTTATAAGAATACAGGGAAACATTTTTCATGAAATGCGAAAGAAAGAAAAAAATTAGGTAAACTTAGGATGCTTTCCAGAGATCATGACCGTGCTTACAGCTTTGCGTTAGTAAATACTCTTCACTTTCCAAGGATGGTGAAGAATAAAAATTGTGTGAGTGGAACTTTTGTAATAACATAGCATAGTATATGTGCCATTGTTATTGAAGAATAAATAAGAGTGTATTCTTCCAGGATTCAAATTACATCAGTTCTCCAGTATTAAAAAGGGGAGCGGGGGGATTTGATAGCCAAAGGTCTTTGAAATACAAACCTGACTGTTGGCTTTTCCTGATAATCACAAACATATTATTTTATTTTATTTTTTTTAAAGATTTATTTTTATTATTTGTTTATTGGAAAGGCGGATATACAGAGAGGAGAGACAGAGAGGAAAATCTTCCATCTGGTGATTCACTCCCCAAGTGAGCGCAACGGGCCAATACTATGCCAATCCGAAGCCAGGAGCCTCTTCCGGGTCTCCCACACGGGTGCAGGGTCCCAAAGCCTTGGGCCGTCCTAGACTGCTTTCCCAGGCCACAGGCAGGGAGCTGGAAGGGAAGCGGGGCTGCCGGGATTAGAACCGGTGCCCATATGGGATCCCGGGCGTGCAAGGTGAGGACCTTAACCACTTGCGCCACCGCGCCGGGCCCAAACATATTATTTTAAATCTGTCTCCTTCATGAGTTTCACAGCGTGCTTCTTTAATATACTCCTGTGAGTAGAGGGAAAGGAGAATTCTATTATAAGATTTATTTGAAAGGCAGAGTTAGATGGAGGGAGAGTGAGTGAGGTCTTTTGTCTGTTGTTTCACTCCTCAGTTGGCCATGGCAGGCCAGGATGAAGCCAGGAGTTTCTGGGTTTTCAATGTTTGTATCGGGAACTTGGGTCATTGACCCCAGAGGGACAATTCTTAGCAAAGCGGCCATGCTGCCTCGTTGATGCAGCGGAGGTGAGAGCGCTGTGGCCTTGCTGTGCTGCTGTAAACTTAGAGATGCTTTCTTCTTTACCACTGCGTACCTCCTGCGGATTCCACGGCTTGCCCCTGGGCTCCTCATTAGCCATCAGGCAACGTTTGGGTGACCCATGAAGAAATGGAAAATCTTGCTGCTCCAGCAAAAACGGTTAGTGTTTACAGTTTTGTTGAACTTGAAGAAAAGTCATTTTCTGCACCTTGGATAACCTTATTTGTTTACTGTAGCCAGTATAGTGCTATGTGTTGATATGGTTATATGAAAGGTAACTTTTTTTGTGGGAGTTCTGTTTTACAATACTTGTAAATACTTGTTTGATGTTTTGAAATGAGCCAGGGCTAGGTTTCTGTAATGTATTTAATAATAAGTTTTGAATATGCAGACAAAAATCAAGAATTTAATATGAATCCAATTTGCAACATTGGGGACTTAGGCTACAAATATCACATTATTGAACATATATCCCAGTAGTATGTATATAAACTGAATTAAATTTGGAATAGAAAAGTTTAGATTTAACAGTCCTTTTTAATGTAATTATGGAGTTCCTATGCTGAATCAAGCTCAACCCTCCAAAACGTACTAATCTAGTATTCTAAAGGTCATGCTTAAATAACTTCATGAAGACTCTGCAATTGTCAGCTGTTAAAAATGCAGCATTATATATAGTCACTTCACATGCCAAAATACAAATTTGGGCATATCATATTTTCCTTTTGTTAACTTATGGAAATATACATTTTCTTTTGGTATTGAAGAAATTAAGTTTATGATAGATAAAACTGCCACTGTTGTATAAGTTCATTTTCTGTTTATTTTTGATAAGGTTTTTGTTTCGTTTTATCTTGTGTTTGGTGAGCTGTTGTTGCAACCTGTCTCATTCAACATAGCTTTGCGCACAGGATGCGATGGCCTACTTGATTTCACTAATTCAGTTTATATAACATTTCTCTAGAATGAACATTTTTTTATATACAGGTATAGACTTGAATGCTTACATTAGCACATCACACTTGAAAACTAACACACTTTGAAGAACTAAAAATATTTTGAATAACCAGATCAAAAATTCACAAATTCATGGAAGTTAAATGTCATATGTATGAGTATTCCAATAAGAATTAAAACTGTGATTTCCCATGTATTGCCTTTTCACTGTGAAACTGATTACCGTGGATGTAAAAATCTGTGTATCTGTCTGCTTTTGTCACAATAATCAACAATTTCAATTCTAGAAAAATTTCACTGTATACATTTTAAATTGATTAATACTTACATACTTTATTAATCATTTCCTGCTGCTAACACAGAAAGAATCTGAGGAAGGAAGCTGGGCCCAGGTAGGAAATTCATATGCTTTAAGACAATCTTAATAATGTTTTAAAATATGCACTTAGCTCAATATTAAGTTGATATGTATTCTTAAATTTGTATTATGTCTTATACTATATATATCTTTTAAAATCACTATACTTGGATATAGAAAATCATTGTTTCATACCAGGCCTGTTTTGAAAGAATAACCTTGTTTCTTCCACACAACAATGGTCGGTAACGTAAATTTCCTGTGAAATCACCTGTAAATACATTAATTAATCAGTCTTCATCGAAAGCAGGAATTTTTTAAAAAAGCTTTGAATTACATATGCTTTAAGGTATGCTAGAAAGTGTGAGGCTTGTACTTAGAAAGACACGATTTGTTGTGACACACGGGAGTTTATCGTGTAGTCCCATCTATGCTTTGGGAAAACCTAAATGTTGTGAAGCTGTGCATCCTTCCCAGGCTGTATGCCTGTTGGAAAACTAGAGGAATAAACTGTGTTGTATGCATTGTTATTCAAACTGCTGAGTATAAGAAAAATGTAGTAGTTCTATTAGACCTGTATATAAACACTTGATGGAGGCTAGAGTTGAATTAAATCTTGATTTGCTAAAAATTTCATCATTCTTCAGAACATGCTACTGAAAGAGTAAGTAGTCAAGTGTTCTCTAGAAATATGTGATAGAAATGTGAATTTATGGCATGATAGGGAACTACACAGGAAACTTATTAAAAGAGGTAATGTCATTTTTTTTAAAAAAAATTAATGGTGACAGTGGATTTGGGGTTCACTTTGGCTACTGTGAACAGTATTTGACAAAATCAGTGCATATGTTGAATTAAACATTAATTTTTATTTTTTTTTAATTCATACCCTGTTTCTTTAATAGAGTGTTTTTGATTGATTCTTTCTGTTGATGCAATGCTGGCTCAGTTCTGCACTAACAATGTGTGGTACAGTGCTGCAGCATTCTCTTTCTCAAAACGTACTGTTCCTCTTTGCTCTTGGTTTACTGAGCTCTCCACAGCACATCGTTTTACAATTACATTATAGCAGTGGCAGAAGTTGGCATTTGGTAAGTGGAAAATGTGGAATATTAGTAAGATAAAATAAGCCCATCAATATAAAGATGGAAGCAATGCTCAAAATTTGCAGTATACCTTTAAAAAAGGTTTTAAATACTTTATTTGAAAGAGCAATGGCAGAGAAGCAGGGAAATAGATGATTAGTCCATCTGCTGGTTCACTCGTTTAATAGTTACAGGGGCCAAGAATGAACCAGCCAGAGCCAGGAGCCAGGAGCTTGTTCAGGGCTCCTGTGTGGGAGGCAGAGGCTGGAGCACTTGGGCCATCCTCTGCTGCATTTCCCAGGTCATTAACAGAGCTGGATTGCAAGTGGAGCAGCCAGGACAAGAACCAAGGCCATAGGAGATGCTGGCTTCACAGGTGGCGGTTTTACCTTTTAGGCCCCAACACTGGCCCCACTTCCAATCTCTTGAGAAGATGTACATTTGAAAATTTCATTCAGTTTGTTAAAGTGAACAGTGATCTATAAGCAAATACTTTGATAAAAGTACGCAGAATTCTTTTCTGTACCAAAGTGAATCATATGTAATATCTGATACATTATTTCAATTCTTATAACATAAATGCTAGTTTTGTTTCTATACATCATACTAATTAAATGAAATAATAATGAGGTAAGTGAAAATAATAGCTAATATCCTCCTATTACCATCTTATTTTACTGGTTAAGAAACTTGACTGCTATAAAACAATTCCAGTGTCCGGTTTTTCTGCAGACTCTGGCTTATGGAGATATGAATCATGAATGGATTGGAAATGAATGGCTTCCCAGTCTGGGATTACCTCAATACAGAAGTTACTTTATGGAATGCTTAGTAGATGCAAGAATGCTAGATCACCTAACAAAAAAAGATCTTCGTGTCCATTTAAAAATGGTGGATAGTTTCCATCGGTAAGTTTGCACCAAGAAATAAATAATATGAAATAACAAATGCTTCATATTTTACTAAAACAAAAATAGGTGTTGAAGGGATAGAGAATATGTGCTATTCAAAATGACTTTTTTATACATGTACTTGGAAGGGTATTCCCAGGCAGCCGATTACAACAGTGTCTACATCAAATGCATGCTCACTATGTGCCCAAGCTTTATACAAATGCTCATGTACAAAATTATTCTGATGGAGCCTTGCTTTCTATTCTACAAAATGTTTATGAAAATTCATGGTTGTGATTTTCATAGATCAGAATATTTACGTTAGAATAGCATCAATGCAGAATAAGCAGATATGGAAAGTCTCAACTTTGCAAATACATATGATAATTTATATAATTTGAAGACATACTGGGAAATTCTTAGAATTCAGCTATTTAAATACTGAATAAAAATTTGGCATCTCATGAGTAAAATAGAATCACTTTTTTCTCCAAATTGTTTATCCTGTGGCAGGTATAAAGGGTGTGTTGGGGCCAGTATCATGGCACTGGGTGTAAAGCCACTGCCTGCAGTACTGGCATCCCTTATGGACACCAGTTTGAATCTCATCTGCTCTACTACCAATCCCGCTTCCTACTCATGCACCTGAGAAGGCACCCTGGAACTTGGGCCCGTGTGCTCACATGGGAGACCTGGAATAAGCTCCTGGATTCGGACGGTTCCAGCTCTGCCCATTGCAGCCACTGCATTTGGGGAGTGAATCAGAGAATGGAATATGACTCTCTTTAATACTTTCAAATAATTTTCAAAACAGGCCAGTTATGTCATAAAAGCTGTGCTGTAGCCCCATAATCATAAGCTGGGTGTGGCAGGCTACGGGTTTGAAATCAAGGTGTTAAGAGGTCTGTTTTCTCCTGACCTGTCGGCATGGCTTGCTGATTCTTTCTGTCCTCTTATGGTATTTCCTCTCTGTGTGTCTGTCCACATTTCCTCTTCTTAAAAAGACAACAGTCTGTTTGGATTAAGGACTACCATAATGGATTCATGTGACTTAATTACTTGTTTAAAGTGTATATCCCCAAAATGTGTTCATATTTTTAAGTACTAAAAACAGAGCCTCAGTGTATGAATTTTAGGCAAGTGCTCTTGAGCCTACAACATCTTCCCAATACTGATTCCTGCATCCTTTTTTCCTGATCCTGAAATAATTGAGTATTGCTTCTACATAAATGTAGACCTTAGCATGCATTCAGATCAAGCAATGCTGTGGCTAGAGTGTACGTCTAAATTTGTGTAATGCTAAGTCCATAAGAAGTCTCTGGCCAATCATTACTGTTAACCTGTAGATTTTTCATCCCATCACACTGTTCTATGGGCTAAATGTCATCCCAGAGTCATCTCATTTCTTGCTGATAGATCTCTGGTCTGAATGTTCTCCTTACTCATGGCTGTTCTTATGGGATGCTAGACCCGTAACTGTTTTTTCTACTTCTCAGGTTTACTTATGTCCTACATTTTCTATATTATTACCAATTCTTTTTCTCTGATCATTTCTCCCTGGCATGAAAAATTACCTTTCCTACGTTAGTGTACTGCATATTTACAGGGCATGTGAGCTTTCCTTGCTATACTTTACTCCAAATACAGTTGGCATCCTCATGGTTTCCCAGAATGGTTTTCTAACTCATGGTCACAGGTTTCCCTATTTCTATGCCTTTGAAAGTGTCATCTGCAATCCTGTGTCCACAATGCTCCATTTTCACTAATAATCCTATCCTTTTGTTACATGATCCTTCAGAGGAGCAGCCCATTTGTACTCCTGCACAACATTCTTTCCACATAACATTTCAGGGTGTGCTAACACTCCTTTTACACACTATGTTTTTTGTGTTTTATTACTCATTTTACTATTACTTTTCTCCTCAGTTCAAGAAAGGAATTTTCATTTCTTAAATTCTTTATTGTCTCCTGAATCAAAACTGTAAATTACTTTCCAATGAATGAAACATTCAATTTGCCTGAACATTCTATAGGAAAAGTTCAATAAAAAATGTGGTTGAAAAAGTTTCTGGTTCCTTTCAGAACTGTTTCCCTTATTTTGAAACTTATTTTCCTACCATGAAGAAACATTGTATGCCTTGAATAATTTTAAATGTACAACCTTTGCATACTGAAGTTTTCAATTGAAAATATGATTAACTTGTATGCCTAAGTGCTACATAGTGTTGACTTTGTTTAAAGAATATCCTTCATCACTGAGTAAATTTAATGTGTTTTTAATTATAGAACAAGTTTACAATATGGAATTATGTGCTTAAAAAGGTTGAATTATGACAGAAAAGAACTAGAAAGAAGACGCGAAGCAAGCCAACATGAAATAAAAGGTAATGTGTCTTTCATATCAAATGCCAAAAGCGAATTTTTAATTTTTACTTTTTGAGCCTAAAATATTATATGTGTTGTATGGTCATTAAATAACATAAGCATTTGGATAGCAATGTCACCATTTTGCTTTCTAACCAAAAAACAAAATAAACTTAGTCACCCTGGGGGTGAATAAACCATCTAGAACATATTCTTTATCTTCGGAATTGAGTTATCCCTCTGAGCACAGTAATTATGTATTCTGTACGAAAGCTGTCTCCATGTAGGCATTTTTGGTAGACTTCTAATGGAACATCCTCATTATGATTCAGAGAATCATGATACATCACTTCTTATAGCACCTCATCCTTATTTATATCATTTTAATTTTCTGTCCATGTTTTATTTTTGAGATGTAATTATAGATGTTATGTAGATATTTTATATGATGATGATTCTCCTATAAATTAGACTGGCTCATTCGTAACTTTTACTCAGAATGATTTTGGGAATGTTGTTAATTCTGCAGCTACTGTTTTATATAAAAGTGTTTGATATAAATAACAAGAAGAAAGCACATTGTGGATTTATTATATAGTATTCAGTGATTAACCACCGAAGAAGTGAGGAAACCGTAATACACAGAGGGATAAATGTCTAAGGAGAAGACTCTCAGATGTTATGCTTGTTAGAGTCCATTGTCATTTTGTTATTGTTCTTTGAAAAAAATATACTCTTGGAGGTAAGATGTAGCATCTCCAGACTCTTTTCTTTCATGAAGTAATCAACTTCTGTTGCTTAAGGAGAAAGGGGATTTGCTAAAGTTCTTATCAGTTAAGTTTCCAGACCTGTCACCCCCAAAATGATATGTGTTAGGAAATATCAGACCCACTGAGTCTTTTTGTGTCACATTGATTATTCAAAATTAAGCATGAGATTTTGTTTTCATTTCGTCTCAGGTTTATGTTAGATAGCAAAATTTTACTTCTCCAGGATTAAACCTTAGCACAATTGGAATCTTTAGGATCACTAATATCAGGCTTTTATAATTTTCATTTTTTACAAACAATATCATTAATTACTTTTACCTTTGGTAGTTCAGGTGTGGCACATTAGTTCTAATAGAATGGGTTTGAATGCATATAAAACGATTGGTTAGAAATTTTTCTATATATGGCTCATTGGCGAGTAGACTGACACACAATGGATTTCTTGTAACACTTGACTGGACTCATTACTTGGGAGCAACAAAGTACCTTTCCCATTATCAAAATCTAGTTGCTTGATTTCACTTTATTTTGGGGTTTTGAAAAATTGCAGGTTGTTGTTGCTGTATTGTTCTTCATCTGAATTGAAGTTTGAGAACTAATGGATCAAAGATCTCAGAAGGAAGTCTGTGGCTGATGGAACAAAGGGTGTTTAAAGCACACAAATAGGTTTTTACTATGGGATACCATTTTCTTTTCCCTTTGAAGTATCTTTTTTTTTAAATTTCAATTACAACTTATTGTGCTTTGCTTCACCACATGAAATCCTTTTATTATAGACTGATGTGAAAGAGAAAAATAACCCATGTGCCCTTACACCAAATGCTATAGTACTGTTTGGAAAGTGATGGTTGGAGTGCAATCCTGAGGAAAACACTGTATGATTCAGCATGATTACAGACAAACAATTCCATATGATAAGTGTCTATGAGTGAAATGATAAATAAGGATTTCCTGTAACTGGCATTTACAGGAATAATGCTCAACTGTGACTAGGGTTCTCTGTTATTATCTAAAGTGCTAATTAATCCTGCCCTTTAATAAATAGGTTTCTGAAGTGAGGAGAATAGCAAGAATATACCAACATTTAATTTGTTGCTAGGTAACAGTCACTACTGATCTCTGGCCATTTTATTGTTTAAGTCAAAGCTTTAAAGTCAGGGCATAAATTTTCTTGGAAATGATTTATAGAGCAGGATGTGTTTTATAAAATAAAAATCGGGTATTCTGCTGTCCCAAAAGAAAATTTTGGTTTAGTGCTGCAGTTGCCTTCATCCAAAACTTGTGTTTTATTATTTACAGTTTTTAGATATTAGATCACTATAAGTCTAGCAATGGAATCTTGATATATATCTTTAGAAATATGTAATTTATCCTAGATGAACAAAATCTAAGCATTTCTCTAGGTTGTTCCTAGAAGGTTTTTAGTGCCTTCTATTGAAAAGTCTGAATAACAAAGAAAACAGGATAAATTTTTTGAGAGGTTTTCAGAGATACAGTTCCCGTCTGCAGGCTCATTTTTCAGATGCCCCCTAGTTGTCCCATGCTAGAGACAGGAGCTCATCCGAGTTTTCACTGGTAGGCAAGAGCTCTGCTACTTGAAGCCCTCATCTGCTGCCTCTTAGGGTGGACATCAGCAGGAAGCTGGAATTCAGCACCTGGGAACTGAGCCCAGGTGTACTCCTATATGTGATGCTCCAGTACCCACTAGTGTCTGCTCTAGGGCCAAATAGTCACCCTGAAAATGGCACAGTACTTCCCATGTTTTTGATGCGAATACTTTTCAACTGATTTCCAAAAGAGTCAAATTTGGTTAAAATCATCTGGAGACATGTGGCCATCATCCATGCCTGCCTAGTAATGTTTGTAAGTTAGTCTTAAATCTGCAAGACCTTTAGTAGCTAAAATCTTGACAAAAGGGATAAAGGATTGATATTTATGTGACTCTTACTTTGAGCTACTTGAGGACCTACCAGAAGCATGGAATTAGAAACTAAAAAGTTCACAGTGGGGCCACCATTGTGGTGCATCAGAGTAACCTGTGTCTTAGAACTTGGACATGCAATATTAAATTACCAGTTCGAGTCACAAATGCTCTGGGACCCGCCTAGCTCCCTGCTAAGAAGCCTGGGGGAGCAGTTGAAGATGGCTGAAGTTCTTGGGTCCCTGTTACCCAGGCTGGAGACATGGGTGTAATTCTTGGGTCCTGACTTAGAGCTGGTGCTGCCCCTGACTCTTTTAGCCATTTGGAGACTGAACTAACAAAATGGATGGTGTCGTCTCTCTGTTTCATTGCAGTATGCCCTACGGGTAATTAAAATGTGTGTATTTTTTAAAGTGAGCAGAAAGTGGAAGTCCAGTGTAAGAAACTGAAAAGGCAGGGCTTGGATATTTCATAATAGAGTAAAAAAAGAATCGGAGGTCAGAAGCACCAAGTAGACTTTCAGTCAAGGGTTGGGTTTGAAGGAACACCACCCTCAGAGTAAAAACAAATTTCTACAGACTAGGTTTTATATTGAAAAGTAAAATTAAGGGCCCGGCGCGGTGGCGCAAGTGGTTAAAGGTCCTCGCCTTGCACGCCCGGGATCCCATATGGGCGCCGGTTCTGATCCCGGCAGCCCCGCTTCCCTTCCAGCTCCCTGCCTGTGGCCTGGGAAAGCAGTCGAGGACGGCCCAAAGCTTTGGGAACCTGCACCCGCGTGGGAGACCCGGAAGAGGCTCCTGGCTTCGGATTGGCATAGTATCGGCCCGTTGCGCTCACTTGGGGAGTGAATCATCGGACGGAAGATCTTCCTCTCTGTCTCTCCTCTCTGTATATCCGCCTTTCCAATGAAAAAATAATAAAAATAAATCTTTAAAAAAAAAGAAAAGTAAAATTAAAAGTCAGCCTGAACTTATCTCAGTTATGGATTAGATTAAGTCAAAATTGCTTTTTTTTCAGTAACTTGCTACTAATATAAAAATTCCTCCCAAGAGGGAGTTAATATGATCCAGAGGCTCTGGATTGTTCATCACAATGTCTGGATTTCAGCTAGAAAACTCAGTCATGTCAAGTTACATGCAGAAAAACAGGATAAAATCGGAAAATGGGAACACCTACACCTGACTTTGATGTCATGTTTAAAGGCATGGACTTTAAGAAAGCTATGATTAATATCTTAGAAAAAAGTGAGAAAGTGAAAAATTTAATATGTAACTGAAATCAGCACAGTAAGGAAATAAATGGAAGAGAAGGGTAGCTAACGGTAAAGAGAAAGTTAACAAAGTCCAAGTCCATCAAAGAACAAAATCTTATCTGACTTCCAAAAAAAGTAAAAATATAGGGCAGGAATTCAGTGCAGTTAAGGTGAATTCTGCATCCCATATCTAGGGCTAGGATTTGGGCCCCAAATTTCCAATCCCAGCTTTCTGCTGATGTATACCTTGGGGGATGCAGGAGATGGCCTGTTGTTGGGTCCTGCCATCTACAGGGGAGAACTGATTGCAGTTCCGGGATTCTAGCTTCAGCATGTTACAATCTTGGTTGTTACTTGAAGAATAAACCCAGAAAGTAACAAAACAAATGACACTGGTGTAGACTTTCTGAAGTCTTTCATGGGCTTTTCAATAAAAGCCATTTACATTGAGGTAAATGGATACCTCATTGCATTTTCCTGACAGCTAATGTTTCTGAGCAATTGTCTTGATATATGTATATTTAGTCATCTGGATTTCCTAGGAGGTACCCATCTTTGCCTATTTTTTATTCATTTGCTTTTGAGTTATTTTAGTTTTATATTCTGGACATTAACCCTTTGTCAAATCAATAGTTTGCAAGCATTTTCTTCCATTCTGTGGTGCATATTGTATACTATTGGTAAGAAAATAAATGAGTGCAGGCATTATGAAAAACAGTTGGAAGAGTCCATAAAAGCTAAAACCAAGATCCTGTGATAATGTTATTTAACTTCTGAATATAAACCAAAAGTAACAAAAGCAAAGATAAGGAATCCATTCAGATTCTCATTAACAGATGAATGGATAAAAATTGTGTAATATGAGGAAACAAAAAACACTTGTAGTGAGGCAGATTTAGGAGGCTCCAAGAACTCCAAGAGAGAGTGAAAATAGAAAGACAAAAATTAGACATACTATAAGAAAGATTGTAAAACCGAGCCATTGGGCCACTGTTACCCACGTGCGAGACCTGGCTATAGTTCCTGGCTCCACAACCTCCCTGTCATATTAAAGCAGATGTCTTTGGAGATGCTCACATCCCACTCTGAAGTGAGACTGTGTTCTGTTTTTATTTTTGCTCCATTCTCAATTCTTCCTTCCAGCTAATATGTAATATGTAAGATAAATAACTAGAATAAATTTGTATTTTAATTCTGCTTTCCATTTACTGTCATGCTTTTTTGTTGGAGCTGCTACTGAAAAGTTTTACAAATACGTTACTGAAACTAAATAATTGTATTGCCTTGGAGTTCTAGGTAAAGTATTTCCTTGAGTTTGATTTTGCCTCTGCTGTGCCTTCTGTTGGTTGCTAGCATCGTTGGTATTTGGCTTGTAGAAGTAGTGCCCTGATCTCTTCTTTGGTCTTCATGGACATTTCTTCAAGTGTGCCAGCCTATTTCTAAATTTCCCTGAGAATCTGAGATATCAGTCACATAGTTAGGTTCCGTGCTAATGAATTAATTTTAATTTCCCAATTAAGATCCTAATTGCAAACACAGTGACATTCCAGGTTATTAAGGGGGTAGGATTTAGCCTGAATTGTTTTGATATAAAATAATACTACATGCCAGTAATACTACATGCCAGGACTGAGTGAAGCCAGATCCCATAAGCCAAGTCCCTGTTGCTCTACTTTTTGGTCAGTTCCCTGCCCATGTGTCTGGGAAGGAAGACTTGGATGCAGCCCTGGCTCCTGCCTGGCCCAGCCATAAACCTCGTGGCCATTTGGGTAGAGAGGCAGCAATGATAGTTTTCTTTCCAAAATCATTAGTGTCACAGAGGTCCCTTGCAAGCACCTTCCCAATTACCACCATCACCCAGCAATAACCAACATTCGCATTACTTTAATTATGGACTAATTTAACCTGAAATTTCTTTTAGCTTTTCCTAGATGAAATCATAATGTGATCCATCTATCCTTTAGAAATTATGTTTATTATTTATTATTCCATGGTAGGATTATGATATGGTGTACCTATTCTTCCATTGATGTATATCCATAATTGTGGTTGTATATTTTTACAGAATCTTGTTATTAAACAAAGACAGTTTCCTGTTTTAATGTTATCTACGGCAAAATGCAAGTATATATAGTTAAAGCAAGAGTAAAGTAGGAAATACTCTTGATGGTTAATGCTTTGATTTTAAAGATAATTAAAATGTGAGGAAGTATTATATTCTAAAATACATGTATATTTTATTCGTTTAGAAAAAGTAACAAAAACTGTTATTTCAAAGAAATTACAGTTTATTTTCTTTGTATAGGTAGGAAAGAGTGTGGAAAAGCTTGTCATTAACCCTTAACCTCTTCAAAAATACTTTTTTCTTCCTGAAGAATAGTATTTCCCCTGTGACTATTTGAATAGGTTTTCTGCAGCATCCTCTCAATTCTTAATAGGAAGAAATGAAATTAGAGAATATATCAGAGGCTTTTTAAAAAAGTGTACACCTGGGGTGGGTCTTTGTAGTTTCACGAGGTCAGTTCCTCTCCCTGCTAATGTGTGGCACCTCTCCCTGCTAATGTGCACCGTGAGTGGTCGCGGGGCAAGACCCCAGGAAGCAGGTTCCTGCCATCCACCAGAGGGCTGCGTGGGGTGAACCAGCCTGTGGACTCTTTCTTCTGCACTCCCGTCTACTTCTTATTTAAAAATTATTTACTTGGTTTCATTTTTTTATGTTGTTAAAAGCACACCTGACATTTTTGCCCAATAGATGTGTTAGTATTTTGTGCCCCCAATAAAACTAGAAGTAACTTATGATTTCTGTGTAAGTATAGGCTTGCAAAATAATAGTAGTAAGACAATTTCTCAATTCTGCATTATCATACTGTTTTTAATGTGATGCTTTTAGAGGCTATCTTCTAGTTTGTGTTGCCGTATTTAACTAGTAATGAATACACATCCCTGATATTGTGTTAGCATCATTTTGCTGTGTTAACTGAACAGGTGCATAGCAACCTATATCAAGAAAACAATAGTTTTGCCATCTGCGGGCCAAAATATTAAGTTTCAGAGGGACTGTTAGGGCTGTATTATGAAAACAAGATTTTACGATTAAGCACTGTGTGATAGAAGTGATAAGCACCACAGAAATGACAAATTCTACATTTAGAGCAGACCAAGCGTTGGGACACTGGGCACATGCAGGAGGAGGACGGGGACACTGGAGCACATGGATTATCTGCATGTGATGTGCAGCCATTTCAGCCAGTGGTGGTGTTTATCACACAGAAAAATGCAAACTTAAAACAACGAATTTCTTTTCCTAGATGTGTTGGTGTGGAGCAATGATCGAGTTATTCGCTGGATACAAGCTATTGGTCTTCGAGAATATGCAAATAATATTCTTGAGAGTGGTGTGCATGGTTCACTTATAGCCCTGGATGAGAACTTTGACTACAGCAGTTTAGCTTTATTATTGCAGATTCCAACACAGAGTACTCAGGTAAGCCCTTCCATCCTGTGGTATCACTTGGTTAGAGTTCATTTGATGATAAACTGAAATTTTAGCAAAAACATAAAAGGAAGGTATGAATTCATTATCCTAAAAGTTAGCTCTAGCTTTAACTATATCACCGGGATTTTAATTTCAGGCTTCTGCATTCCTAGCCAAGACACCATCACAAAACTAGTGAGGAAGGTATTTAGAAGTAACGTGTGACCCAGCCTCCCACCTGACTGCCAAGCTCTCCAGCTTTCAGTCTGTTTCTCTGTGAGGCAATCATCTCTGTTCACATACACGAATTAGAGACAATTAACATTGAGCTTGTGAGTTCTTTCATATCTGTGTTCTTGTTTGAATCAGTGGAATTGCTTACAAACTAAAAAAACCTACATCACAATCCTACGAAATCAAATGTTGGGAGTCTAAAGGGAGTAGGAATCTTTATTTTCAGCGTTTTGCAAATGGTGGTCATTGGTCTAAGTTGTATAGATTTGAGAGGAAATGAAATTCATTTGCAAAATTTCTATTTGGTTTGTGATCATGTCAAACTTTCCATGAAATATTCAGTTGGAACTGAGTCAAAGGCTTACACCTGTGTCTCCAGTGTTCGCAGAATAAAATGGCCCTAACGCGATATTTATAGATTCTGTTTACAATGATCTATGGATATGGGAGACTAATGAATTTAAGGCCATAAATAAAATACGGTTTGCCATGCTTTATCAGAAGAATGTTAGGTATATTATTTTTTAAAATGTGATTTCAGGAATCATAACCATAATTTGATGTCAACAGGCTCGGCAGATTCTGGAAAGGGAATACAATAACCTCTTGGCTTTGGGAACTGAACGACGACTAGATGACGTAAGTCCTTCCCTATAAGGCAAATGAGATCATGTATACTATAGGAAATAAAATGAAACTCCTGCTTCTTAAAGTGTAGGCAGTGGAATTTTCTCAAGGGTGATTCTGAAATCATATTTTGCTTAAATTGGAGTAGACTTCTTCAATTCATAATATTTCTACAAATACACACTAAAGGGTAATTTTTTTCATCATGAATTTTGACCATGTTTTTAAAACTAACCTCCAAAAGCAAAAATGATCAATGAAGCTTTCTAATAAGGAATGTGTTTACATCTTAAATATCATGACACATTCCAGAAAGATATGTTATCAAATGCACAACATTTTAAGAATCACAGGAGTTTTAAAAAAAACTATATTGGGTTAAAAAATTCCTATATATAAGCTATGTTGAAGTGCTCTAGAAATCAACACATTGCATATATGATCTCCTTAGATAAATGAACAAATCTAAACCTTGAAGATTGCATTTTCAGAAAGAAGTGAGGGGGTAACCTGACTGGAGTGGAAAATACAGAGACCCATTATTGTGTTTTTCTGTACGCAGACATGCAGTGCAGGTTGTGGTTTGTTACAGTGAGTGTAGGCTCCACAGTCTTGCTCTTGGTGAACTTCTGGTAAGGTCAAACTATTTCAAAATAATGGTGGGTATATAGAAAAACTCAGGTAATATGTAGCTATCTTTGATGTTACTATAATGAGAATAAATTAATAGTATAGGCTTATACTAAGTAGTTGACTCAGAAGACAAGTTTAAGGCTTCATTAATTTATTCGAAAGGCAGAAATACAGAGAGGAGAGAGACAAATCTTCCATGTTGTGATTCAGTTCCCCCAGATGTTTACAACGGTTAGGGCTGGATCATGGCAAAGCCCACAATCCTAGATTACATAGTAGTATCCCACATAGTGTAACAGGGCTTAACAGCTTGAGCCCTTATACCTGTCTTCCCAGGCACTGTACCTCCATGCCAGCAAAAGCAGACAAATTGCCTAGAATCAGAGTACTTTATTTTGGGGGGCTTCCTGAGATGCTACTAATTAAATAAGTTTTGATATACCGCAAGAAAAAAGATGGCATTTAAATGTACCTCATGATGTGGCTGCTTTTGAGCTCCTTCTAACTTTATGCATGAATTGTTAATATATTGTAAGTTGAAAAGAACCATAATTCAAAATATTGGATTAAACAATTGGATATGCTTAGTGTTGTAACTTCTGCAGGAAGCTGTTCTTTTCTGTACTTACAAACACAGCAGCTGAGGGAGGTGGCAGATTTAAGATAGCTATATAGACAATTTACACTAGGCAAACGCCAATACCAATGTTATTCACATGTAACAATAATATGACCTTAATATTATATATAACTCTACATGCCAGATTGCAGCAAGAACAAACTATATAAATTTGTCTAAATCCTGAAGGAATAAACAGTCTTTCCCTAGATGAGAAAATTAGTGACATAAGATAACATCTGTTAGGAGTATTTTCCTTAGACAAAAGTACTAAATGTTAAATTACTTATTTCTGCATAAGAAATTGTAACAAGAGAATGATCTAGAAATAAGCTTTGTGTAGACATAAGAGGATTATTTCATTAACATGTAAACATCAACAGTCGGTCGCAATATAAAAAGTAACTAGCGTTAGTGTGTTTTTGGTGAAGAGCAGATGTATTTATTGAGAGTTGTCTAGCCTGCATAATTTTTTCATTAGATTATAGGTTAATCATATAATCTAAAATATAATTCACAATTTTCCCTGCAGATTAGACCACTTCAATGGCAGATTCCCAGGGCCAACATTGTGGCATAGCCAATAATGCTGCCATTCTATGTGGGTCCTGGTTTCTGTCCCAAATGTTCCCTGTCCAATCAAGCCCGCTGGTAATTGCTTGGAACCCTGCTACGTATGTAGATCTGGAAGGACCTGCTTGGTCCAAAAAGCAGGTTTCTGCTTGTCCAAAATCTGGCTGTAACAACCATCTGAGGAGTGAGCCATGTGACAGATTTCTCCACGCTTTGCCCTCTGTCTCTTCTCTATAAAGATTTCATTCTTTTTGAAAGGCAGAGTTATGGAGAGGAGCAGAGATGTTCTATCCATGGGTTCACTGCCCAAATGGCTAAGACAGCCAGAGTCTATACAATCTCAAACTGGGAGCAAGGACTTGAGTCGATCTCTGCAGCTTTGCCATTGAGCTGGATTAGAAGTGGAGCAGCTTGGACTCAAACTGGAACCTATCTGGGAAGCCGTTTCAATTGGAGGGGTAGCATGGTATGCCATTGTGCTGTTAAAGTAGAGACATGAAGCCTGTAAAAAGGGGGAGAAAAGTGGTTTCCTCACATGATATCTATAAAAAATGATTGTCCAAATGCATTGGTCAGTCTACCAAGCAACCAAAATTTGACTGATACCATAAAGAGATATAATAAAGTCACTTCAAAAAAGTTTACAATTTAAAGGATGTTTACCATGATTTCAAATGTTAGACATGAACTTAACACATATACTGATTGCAAAAAGAATGTTTGAAATATATAATACTCAAAATACATATTTGACAGACTTAATGTAAATAGCCTGTTAAATGTTCCAAAGTCCATGACCAGAAACACCAAGGCAAGGTGACTAGTTTTCATTGCATTCCATTCTACCTGTGCTGGCAGAGCGATGACAAGAATTTCAGACGTGGGTCGACCTGGAGAAGGCAGTTTCCTCCTCGTGAAGTACATGGAATCAGCATGATGCCTGGGTCCTCAGAAACATTACCAGCTGGATTTAGGCTAACCACAACATCGGGACAGTCAAGGAAGATGACAACGGATGGTACAGTACTTACACATTTCCGCTTCGCACATAAAAAAAAGCTTGTCTAGCAGAAGCTGCTATAGTCCTGACCTTGCTAGCATCCTGGGATTGATTCTTTCCTTGCGTTGGTTTGCTCTGCTTGGAATTTGCTTTGCTTTCATACAGAAAGACTCGCTTGGAAAGTACTGATGCATGGTATCTATGATATGTTTTTCTCATTTTAGAAATTATAACATCCTACAGGGAGCTAATGTCCACATTTAGGAAGAATGATAGACATCTGAATGGTTTCTATTCCTGAAGTAAATAATTTAACACTTAAGTAACTACTATAACCCTCTGTGTTGAATTTACTAAGAAATTTGGACTCATCAGATAATCTTAGCCTTTGCCCAGGGCACGGCCTAAGAAAGCACAACTGCGAGAAGAGAAGCAACACATAGTCAACAGAAATCTCTCAGTGCTTCCTTCTGTGGACATTAGGCTTTTCGCAAAGAAAAAGTTATTTTACACAAGAAATACTTTTGAAATCATATTCATAAGATTGTTCTGTTTACTAGATGTTACAAAGAGATAGTCTCATCCTCTTCATGAAGATAAGCATCATGAATGATTATTTGTTATAACTGTTCTGGTTCTTGAAATTAGTTACAGCATAAACTAACTTTAGTTCAGATTTAGAATAAAGTTGGTTCAAATGTATTGTTAACTTCTCAGGACTGTGAAACATGTTAACACTAATTTTAAGCATCTTGAATTGCTTATGCATTTTGCTAAGTTCTCAAACGCTTAGAGAAAAAACAGTATACTATATTGAGTTCTATAAGAAAAATCGTCCCATCAAAGCAAGCACCCCAGGGAGGATACATAACACATTGAAAACTCAGTTGAATTACATGAGAATACTTTTTTATTAGATACTTGGTCTAGAGACTAGAAGTGAGCGACTTATGTCTGAACGAAGGAAGGACCTAGGACTATGTTAAGGATCCCTTTTTGTAGGGAAACGATATCTTTCTCATCTGAAATCGTACTGTCAGTCATCCAAGACCCTCTAAAGCCCTTTTCTCCATTTGCAGTGGCTTCATCAAGATTGCAGAGGTTAGACAACTCCACTGTTCGTACATACTCATGTTGACCAAGCCACTCAAAGGAGGCAGCACTGACCTGCTGTGAGTAGTTCCCCCTTGGCTGTAACAACCCACACAATGGAACCTACTAAAATAGTACCTAGAGACTGCACCCTTTGGTGTGCTGTAGCAGTGCAGAGGTGAGATGACCCCTTTGAATTGCTAGAGCGGGGAAAGGAATCTTTTTATCTTAGTCTATTTCCAGTCACCATCTGTCTGCTGTGGTTCAAGTCCTGACCACTGGAGATCTGTCACACAATGCTACCCAAAGTAGAAGACCACATTGGAGCAAGGGCAAGAGTGTGTAACTCTTGAATCTGCCAAAGTAGAGAATGATTTAAATAAGTTCAGTGAATAGTGACAGAAACAAAAACAAATCAGGTGGTTTTACATAAGAAAGGCAGAATTTGTGTATAAAAGTGATACAAGGAAGCAATGACAGCTTACCTTGTGCTGTTTATTCATTCCCTTGAACTAAGCTCTAAACAATTTCTTGTTGGTCTTCTGGCTCTAAGTGGAAATATATCTGCTGCCGAATTTGGGTCATGTTTGCTGACAAAACAAAAAGTCTCCAGATAAGAGATTTAATTTCATAATTCATAGCTTCAAAGTATATAGTAATTGGCTGATGGACTTCCAAAATAGTTTATAATGTATTCTACACATTGCCTGAGTAACTGAATACTTCACTAATTTACAAATAGCTAATACGTTTGCTTGCTTTTTTAGTTCTTTGCAAGTAGATTAATTCTACCAGTAATTATTTTCTGTGCATGGCATTCTAGTTCATATTTCATTTCCTGCTAAACTAGATTAAGATATTCTAGTACAACAGATTTTTACTTTGGTTCCATAGTAACTCTCATTATGAAAGTAAATCAGATGATTTACTTTGCTTTGATGACAGCTTAAATAGTATTATGACTGAAAAGAATCAGTGATACCATAGCACTGACACACTTCTGTTAAATATATACTATTAACATCACATTCTCAAGACAATTCAACTGAGCTAACTTTAAGAGCTCTAACGTATATGAACTAGAATATTAACATACTTCATGAAGTCAATTCAACCCAATTTATTCATGAGACAGTTGCAATGCTCCATTTTGTTTGACTTTTTATGTTGGCACTTCAGACCTGTTCTCCAAGGTGAAATAAATAGCATTTCTAAGTTTCCAGTGCACAAAGCTCAGAACAGTGAATGTTAAAGTGCTGCTGGGTGGATTTTGATGCTGGGAATAGGCACGTTGCATGGAAGGACAGCAGAGTAGAGAAGTGAAGTTTAGCACTCTGGAAGCTGACAACCCCCCGCCTTATGTATTTTAGATGCTGTCTTTTCAGTCTACTCTACCTAAAGTGCACTACCATCTTAGAAGACAAGCCGTGAGACACCTCTGTGAAGATGGAATTCGAAGGGACTAACAAGCAGTGCTGTAAGAAATGCTCAAAATGTTTTGGGGGGAGTCAGTTATCAACTTGATTAGTTTACTATAATTGTAAGAAAAAATGCTTACTTAACTCATTTGAATAATAAGCATCATCCACATCATAAATTCTGTACAACAGATGTTTTATGAAAAGGAGCCACTTGTTTTTCATGTTTAATGTAATATACTAGGCATTAATGTATTACTGTGTATTTCTTTTTAAATGTGTAAGTCTTCTGTAAATGGATATAAATATGATTTTTTAAAAAATAAAATATATGGTTCATGGAGTCTCGAGTGCAAACATTTGACAATTCCAAGTACTGTTTGTATTTTACCATTCCACTGTTTTTACAGTTTTTGAATTGTAACAGTCAATATGTTTTCTTGAAGTGTGAAACATGCTTCAGGATGTTCCTCCTTCAAGTCTGTCAGTACTTAAAGCTGAACACCTGCCTCTGATCATGTAAAAAACAAAAAAACAAAAAAACAAAAACAAAGATTGATTTAACCTGGAACTGGAGCCAAAAAGACCTCAAAGGCAATCAGGGATGTCCTATAACTTCAGAAATAGCACTGTGATGGCTCGATCTCCTTTTCAATACAAAATAAAGCCAAACTGTTTACAAGAGTCAAAAGCAACTACTTAAATTTATATATAAAATGCATTATCTTGTTACCTGTGGACCAACTTGGGGGGAAAAATGTCTTTATTGAGAACCACTTGTTCATTAAAATGCCTTGAGCTGCCAAACAGCAGGGGATAGTGACTATTGGCCACTGCAGTTGGAGGCTCATTTCCATCAGAAAAAATGAAACCCTAGAAAAGTGTTCCTTTTGTCACTGTAAAAGGGTATTAGCCACTCTCATGTCTAATGTTATAAGTTTTTAAGCCGAGATGGCCTTGCTATGACTTCCCTGAAGTCAGTCTTATCAGAGGATATAAAGGAAAGACAGAACGATGAACATATATAGTGTATAAAAGTATAGAAGAGTAATCTCTTCCCTGTGGCTATATTTGGTGGTGTTATTGTTGTTAATTCCTCGTTTATATGGGAGATTTCAAAGTACAACTATTTAATAATACCATTTATCTATCTGCTGATTTCCCACTGCCTGATCTTAAGCGCAAGACCTGTCATTAGTAAACTTTTTGTATCTTAATTTGCTGTTTGCACGTACATAAACATTTGTTTTGATGTCTATTTTTGTTGAACAGATTCAATCAAAAGGTAATGGTACAGAAACCCTCTCCGTTGTCAATAAAAACAAGTACTTCCAGTTGTCTGTTTAAGCTTCATTTTCTAGTCACATGTACATGAAGTATAATGAAAATCATTCTGTTACTTACTCTGTCCACTGGTTTGCTGCAAACAGCAGTCAGCCACAAGAGGGAGTGTTAAACTTGTCTATGGAGCTGATTTTACATTTTCTCCATTTGATCCCTAACCAGAAATAACGGGAAAGAGCTCATTTGAATATGGGGACCAGGGTTCATAAAGAATAGAATATACAAAGCATGATATTCAATGCCTTTACTTGATGTACTCCTATAGACTTGTGAACCGCTTTGTCTTACGGTAAAAAAAAAAAAAAGAAACATGAATGGTCTATAATAGATTCTAACATACAGCTACTTCCCCAAAAAAAGTAGAAATGCCTTATTTTTTTTTTAAAAAAAATAGTTTTTATTCTAAAATCCATTTACTGGAGTAAGCTCAGATTCCTCCTTTCCCCATATTCCTCCTCCTGACTACCAACATTATGGATTCTTCAATTTTTAATGATTAGGGCCTCTGTAATACTGTTTTGTGTAAAGAAAACTGCTTTTCAAATGTAAAGTCAGGCCTCTTTTGAATGCACTTATTTTCCCTAAGCAAAATAACTCATTCAGTTGCAAACACTTTTCTATAGATGCCAGAAGCAGCAAGGAGGAGGCTTTTTCCAGTTACTTAATCCATAAAAAATCATAAAAATGACACAGAACATGCATCTTAGCATACTTAAGCATCACTGCATTTTTAGTAGTATCTTATTTTCTTACAACATCTAATTCAAATAATTCAACCCCGTTTTAAGTGCTGTCTAGCTAAAGTACTTTCTGAAAAGCTTTTCAAAAAATACCTTTTTCATCACCTCTCAGATTGTATTCAGGCTGGTCTGTAGTTTACTTTTCTTCCTTCATTTTTGCTCACATTCTGCAAAGGAATTAAATTTCCTAGACTCCAGTAAGTTGCTTGCACAATGTCATGCACCATTTTCTAAATTCACTTACCTGTATCATGTGCCAACCTCACTTGCTGCGTGTCCCATCTGATTTGATTACCAGGAAACATTTGCAAGAGAGGGAGTTAGGGAGTTAAGATATAACCTTTAAGCAGTTCTTGGATCCGCCCAAGTTCATATCTTGCAGATGAACAATGATGCACATTCATCTGAAGACTTTGCTATTTCAAATGAACAGCTTCTCAAACAAAGGAATTTTAATATTAAGACATTAAAAAGCGACCAGGTATAATAAGCACAATGTACTCCACTAGAAGAAACGCAACAGCTCAGAATCATAGCATCATTCTGCTTGGTTTGACGCAGACCAAACACATAATTACATGTATTTTTTTTTAAGCACAACTATCAAAAAGGCCAATTTAAGCCAAAAAATAATTTTAAAATTCATTTATTTTGTAGCAAACAGTTCCAAAAAGCCAGCATTTTCAAAAGTTTTTTTTATACAGATTATAAATTGTTTAAGGCAAACTCACCTATCTTGTATATTTCACGTTCCAGAAAAGTGTAACAGCCTACTACTGATAAGATTCAGAAATGCCTTGAAAGCCACAGAAAATACAAGGGATATACTTTGTGTGTTTATTCTTTGAACTCTGCTGTCATTTAGAATCAAACAAGCTACATATGTAACCACCTGTATCTAAATTAGTTGGTACATTCTCAACTCGCTAAACACTTTTTAAAATGCTGAACAATTTCAGGAAAGTTTACCTGGGAATCAAAAATTTTAAGGAATTCTTTGAAAAATTGAGATGTTTAAGAAAAAAAAGAAGTTGGGTTTTCCTTCAACAGGGCTCTTACTCAGGTACTATGTCCCTCCTGAGCTACATTCTGCTGAATCTGAGTAAGGGCTGCTACTCAGAGGATTAAAACTCCAATATTCATCAAATCTGTTGTCTGCTGAATACTCAGGCCATGTGACCCATGTCCAGTTCCAAAGCTCCTTTTAATATCGCCTACCTGCATGTTTAGAACAACATTTATTCATCGACAGTTTTCTTGCTGCTCTAAATGCATTTTGTACATCCTTGGGAACTATAGAGTCAACTACAGATCCAGGGCGTGGGGAAGGTCTCCCAGGAGCCCCATCTGTCAGGTTCTCTGTGGGATGCGTTGGTTTCCCTAGCCTAAACCACTATCTACCTGAAGGAGGTGCTGTAACGCTGGCGTCCTGCCTTCCCTCCGCTACCTTGGCCAGGCAAGTCCTCCCTCCCAAGAAAACAATTTCAGATGTCTAAAAATTATTTATATACTCTCATTTGGTCTTTTTTCCTTAAAAACAGTTTTGGCATCCAAGAGTATTATGTAGCTTTAGAAAACAATTTCCAGATGAAATATTTTCATTATTCTCTGGCAATCATAGGATTTTTCTATTTTTGGAGTCGAAGCTACACATTCTACATTTCAGGAAATGGCTTTAAGTGTCACCTGCAGATAAAGTTTATAGGGGGTATCATTTTTAAGAATCATACACACACATCCAATTTTCTTAAAACAGTAAACAGTATATAACAAACTATGCTGCAACTTCCTGGCAATCATTCTGAATTGGTCAAAGCAAAGGGCTCATTCTTTCATTAGTCTTCATTAGGCTTGTTTTACATCAAGCTCTACAATTCACATTTCAGCTTGCAAGTAATTTCCATTTACATATGTATTTCTGAGAAATAGCTCAAATAACTTAATTCCAGTGAGAAAATGAAATTCAGAATAGAAAAAAAGAAAATGTCACAATGCCTGTTTCAGCACTTCTTCTATCTGCCCAAAAATATTGGGGTCTTCGATTGTAGGCGATACCTGAAAAGAAACTCAATGTCAAAGGAAGGCTTCACATTGAACCACTTCCCTCTTCACTCCCTAAGGAAACGACTCTGCATGCAATGCCGCATTTCTGATCATCTCCTCATTGCATTTAGCAATGCTCAAAAAGAGGGAACTTAATACTTGGAATTCTGTCTTTAGTCTTGCATTGGTCTTAGTACTTTTGTTAGTCTCTCTTAAGATCCTTTCTATGCAGGTGTTGAAAGTAGTACATGTATGTCCTGACAAACACCCGTGTGAGTCAACTTTGCCGTGGTATTGCTTTGTCTTAGATCTTGATGTTAAAAATACATGTATTAGTGTTGATACTACATACATACAGACTAAAACATGTGTTAAATTCATCCCAAACATTCCTAAAATTTTCATCCAGGAGAAATAATTACTATGTATTGAATTTAAAATTACAACAATATAAACATATTTTGGAAGCCCAAAATATTTACCTTTCTCATTCACTCATAATCATTAATAACCATAATAAAAAATCTAACTTCAACAGGATTGAATTTTCACACACATTTTAGTTTAACTGAAATTATCACGAACAATAAAATAATTTTCACAAATTGGTACTTAAAATCAAAACATATGGCCTTTACTAGTCTTTTCTTTCCCAGGATCATACCAATTTAGAGAAAATGACTACGCAATTTTCCCTTAAACATTAAAAATGTACTCTCATGTGTTTTCTTGGAACACAATTCATACTTAAAAATAATGTTTAAAGAGTTATTCTGATTAAAATTAAAACATTAAAAACCCTCGTTCACTTACCTTATATGGCTTGCCATTGACAAGGGCAGACAGAATGTTCCGAGGAATTTTGCCAGATCTGGTTTTGGGTAACTGTTTGACAAACACTGCATTTCGAAAAGCAGCCACAGGACCAATGGTCTGTCTAACATGTTTCACAATTTCTTCCAACACCTGTTCCTCTGTTGCATTTGTTTCTAGGGGAAAAGTTTGAAAGGTAAGCCCTAAATTAATTTTGCTTTATTTGGAGCCCAAAGCATCAGAGAAGACCACAATCTCACCATTTCTCAACACACAGAGTGCTAAGGGGACATGACCTTTCAGAGGATCTTCCTTGCCGACAACAGCACAGTCTGCAACAGCACCGTGAGAGAGGATTGACTGTAAGAAAAAAGAAAGGTGTCCATTTAAAATACATGTGTACACATGCACATACACATGGGTAGCCATCGGCACCAGGGCTTGGGATGCGGCTCAGAGAACACGCATATCCCATGTCAAAGTGCCTGCATTCAAGCCCTACTCCTAACTTCAGCTTCCTGCTAACAGACCTCCTGGGCAGCAAGACGAGATGGGCATAAGTCCTTGGATGCCAGCTTCAGCCTCACCCAGTCCCAGCTGTCTTGAGAATTCAGGGAGTGTGCACTCTTCTAGCTCGCGCGCTCTTTTCCCCTCTAACTCTCTAAATAAATTAACACATAAAAAATTCATGTGCAAAAATTTTAAAGCTACATTTGCGGCCTAGCATCATAGCACAGCAGGTGAAACTGCCACCCACAGTGCCAGTATTCCAACTGTGCATTCGTTCAAGTCCCTGTCCTGTTCTCCTGCCATTTTGGATAGGAATAAACAGGTGAAAAATCTTTCCCTATAACTCTGTCTTTCAAAGAAATATAGTAACATTTTAAAAAATAATCTTAGGGATAGGTGTTTGGCAGTAGATGCCTTATCAGAGTACCTAGGTTTGATCCTGGCTCCTGTTTCCAATCCAACTTCTTTTTAATGTTTACCACTGGAGGCAGCTGGTGGTTCAAGTACTTGCATACCTGCTGCCCACATGGGAGACCTGGACTGAGTCTTGCAATACTAACCTCAGACTGGCCCAGGTCCGGCTGCCTTAAGGATTTGAAGAGTAAAAGGGCTGGGTGGATGATCTCTGCCTGTCTCTTTGCATCTCTGCCTTTCAAACAACATGAAATTTTTTAAAAATTAGAGGTATATCTACCTCAATGCAATAAATTCTGAAACAGAAGCAGCCATTTCTTAATACAAATTTTCTGCAAACTTTAGGCCCTCTGCATGCATGGTTTCCAAAATTGTTTTTACATCAAAATAAGTATCTTTCACTGCCATTTTCTTCAAATTTATAAAGCACACATGTATATTTATGGGCGCACAAAATTGCACTTGGGAAAATCATAAATACAAATAACCTGGAATTTACCAATGAGTGAAAATTTACTACTAAACTACCTCATTACTATTGATGTGAATAGCTAGAACTTTGATGATTCCCTTCATAGTGTAACAATAACCAAAACCAATTTCTTGGCTTTTGTAGAAAGTAAATGTATTTCTATTTACCACTTACAAATGAAATTGGACAAAGTGTGCAGTGGATCCCACACATACACAAAGTATGATGGGTTTCCACACACAGGCATCCTCACGGAAATTTGATTGTGCTATCAAAACCACACCTTCCACGGTCATTCGAGTTTTCCCTGTAGTTAAACAGTGAATTTATTTTGGGGTCTGTTAGTGAAGAGTGAATGAAGAATCCTACCATTTGAGTGACTACCAATCCAGAAAGATGACATGAAGGAAGAACCTGGACATAGAAGCCATTACTGACATCAAATAATCTCCCTGACATGGGAGCATTTCCATATTGCTCACCATAAGCTCTCAGTGCTGTAAGCAACAAAGCAGTTATGAGTCTGGAACCAAAAGTTCCCATAGGTTGAAATATACATATGAAAGACAGATGTATTAGAGATGGAGAAATACTACGCTGCTGTGATCATATTCAGTCTAGGCACTTGGTGCATCAGTTAAGGCCTCGGTAGGAACACCTGTCCCCAGGTCAGTGGCTCTGTGTTTAACTCCTGACTCTGGCTCCAGAGTTGAGCTTCCTATTAATGTGGAGTTTGACAGACAGTGGATGATGATCACTTAAGTAATCAGACCCCTGCCACTCACAAGGGAGACGTGGATTAAACTAGTAGCTCCCTTCTTCAAACTGGCTCAGCCTCAGCTGTTGCACCAATTTTGGGGATGAAGCAGCATATGGAAGATCATTTCTTCTGTCTCTCTTTTCCTTTCTCTCAAAAGAAATGAATGTTCAAAAATCCTTTGCCTAGACTATAGCCTCTTCTGACACATACATATATGCGTGTATGTATTTTATCTAAAATGAGCAAATTGCATGCATTTCACAATGTAGATTTAGGAGCATAGTGATACTTCCCACACTACCCTCCCACTTGCCCACATTCCCCACCTATAATTCCCTTCCTTATTTATAGTGTAAAGACACACTGATTGGCTGGGAAGTGTTGGCGAGGGACACAGACAGGGAGGGCTCCCGGGCAAGAGTTTTAAAGAATTCAGCAGTGGAGAAATCGTGGGAGACAGAGTTACCATGCATCAGCAGAGACAGATGGGCTGAGAGGCCGTGGGCAGAGTTGCTTGCAGAGACTGGAGCTCTCTGGCAGCAAGGTGGGAAAGGCAGACGTCAGAGGTGCAGGGGGCATTTCCTGGTGTGGCAAACCACAGGATCAAGCCGATCCCGTGTATAGGTACAAGCCAGGACAGAGGAATGAAATGAGGTTCCTTCAAGTCTGAGAGAAGGTAGAGGACACACCTGTTTCCGCTGATCCCGGCCAGCAGTGGGCACCATCTTGGCACAGGTGATCACACTCAGATTGCCAGAGTGTCCTAAGTGTGCACCTGGGTTGGCATGAGCGTGCACCTAGATCTCTGCTAGAATGAATTTCACTGCTCTGTGTTTCCCACTGACTTCGCATCTTATGGGTACCGTCAGGAAAACAGGCTTGTTACCAAGTGACCCAGCTTTTTTGCCGGTTCCTTCCAGAAAACTGATACACATTATGAACACATCTAGCATCTCGCACCTTCTCTCAAGAAAATAGGTCTGTGTTTCTGCCCCATAAATAATGCTTATGAATGCCCTATATGCAGAAATAGGCAATGACAACAATCATAATCAAAGAAGGCAGAAAGTGGAGAATATCCTAATAAAGCTACAATGGAAATCTAAAGTAAACTAAGAAAAACTTTGTTTAAAATATAGGACCAAGTTGCTACCTTTCAATAATACCCTCACTCCAATAAAACACAGAGACTGGCTCTTTGGATTGAAAAAAACAGGACCCATCTATCTGCTGCCAACAAGAAATACATCTCACCAATAAAGATATGAACAGACTGAAAATGAAAGGATGAAAAAGATATTCTCTGCCAATCAAGAAAAAAAAAGGAGCAAATGTGTCTATCCTAATACACAACAAAATAGACCATTACACAAAAACTATTAAAACAGATAGGGTACTGCATAGTGGTTAGGAATCAATTCAATGAGAAGAAGTGACTACACTAAATGTATATGCACCCAATGTCAAGACTCCTGTATATTTAAAATAACTGTTCATTGATATAAAGGGGGAAATACACTTCAATACTAAAGGACTCAGGAGCCTCACTGCTGAGTTCTACTAAACCTTTCAAGAATTAATTCTCATTCTTCACAATCTATTCAAAAGATTAAGAAAGGAAGCAATTTCCCCAAACTCCTATGAAAACATCACCTTAATTCTAAAACCAGAAAAAGAAACAGAGAAAGGGAACTATAGGCCAATATCCCAGATGAATATAGATGCAAAAAATCTTCAAATAAATACTAATCAAATTCAACGCTACATCAGAAAAATCATTTACGCAGACTAACTGGAAGTCATCCCTGGTGTACAGGGATGTTAAACACATGCAAATCAGTAAATGTGATACACCATGTTAACAAACTGAATTAAAAAAAAACCTGAAAATATGACATCCTGGATCAAATTTAGAATAGAAGGATCATTCCTCAACACAATCAAGGCAATATGTGAAAATGAAACAATGCCAACATCATATTGAATGGGGAAGAGAAGGAAGCCTGTCCACTAAGATCAGGAGCCAGACAAGGATGTCCATTCTCACCACTGCTATTCAATGTAGTCCTCGAATTTTCACCCAGAACTATTAGATAAGAAAGAGAAATCAAAGTGATTCACGTTGGGAAGGAGAAAGTCAAGCTATCCCTGTATGCAGACTTTCTGTATGGGAGAACCAAAAGATTCTACTAGCAGAGTCATGGTAAACGCATTGGAAAGCCTGGTAATGTTGCAGGATACAAAAATCAACACACAAGTCATTGGCCTTTGTATACACAAACAATTCCATGGCTGAGAAGGAAGTCCCATCCACAGTCATGGGAAAGCAACAACAACCAAACAAAAAAAAGTTAAATACCTTCGGATACTCCACATGAGGGATTTCTACAATGAAAACTACAAACATTAAAGAAACAGAAGACAATACCAGAACATGAACAATGTGCCACAAACGAGGCAAACCAAGTGTAGGAATAATCAACTTCGGTATGTAAACAGAGCACTTTCTGAGAATCTAAAGAATACTAAATGAGAATGTGTAATATTTTGCAATATATTTAAAAACAGTATGCATACCTAGCTAATGAACTATTAAAATATACCCTTCAACAACAAAAAATAATGAAATTTTATCTTTTGCAAAATTGGACATTGCTGGGGACTGTTTTTTTTTAAAGATTTGTTTATTTTTATTGCAAAGTCAGATATTACAGAGAGGAGGGGGGAGAGTGAGGAAGATCTTCCATCCAATGGTTCACTCCCCAAGTGAGCACAACGGCCAGTGCTGTGTTGCTCTGAAGCCAGGAGCCAGGAACTTCCTCCAGGTCTCTGATGAGGGTGCAGGAACCCAAGGCTTTGGGCTATCCTTGACTGCTTTCCCAGGCCACAAGCAGGGAACTGAATGGAAAGTGGAGCTGCCGGGATTAGAACCGGTACCCATATGGGATCCTGGCATGTTCAAGGCAAGGATGTTAGCCATTAGGCCACCATGCTGGGCCCAGGGACTGTTCTTAGAAGTTTTTTCTCAGCCACGAAATGGTGTTTATAAATGGTATTGATTTAAGTGACTCCAAATCTCTACTACTTCAGGAAAACAGTGGGTATGCAGTAATAGCTCATTTGGCAGGTCTTATTCTGTCTTCTATTTATTTATTCAGTAAACAAATAATTACTAAATAACCCAAGTTGTGACACTGCATGAGG